CAGTGCCTTCACGCCCCCGCCCACCGGCCGCCCTGCAGCACCCACAGCACCCTACCCCAACGCCCTCTGCTCACCCAGCTATGGCCCCCAGCTCTCCAGCACAGTCTTCCACCCCTATGCATCTGGGGCAGCACCGCCGGCGCAGCATCCCAGGATGTTCAGCATCGACAGCCTCATCAGCGGGCAGCAGGCCCTGCAGCCCTCGCCTCCCGCAGAGCTGGGCCACCCATCGCTGGGCTTGACCTGGCTCCCGTCTGCTCCGCTGGCAACTCTGAGTCTCCCTGCTTCCAGGCACAGCCCGTAAGCCCTGGCTTGCTGGGCCGAGCTGGTCCCAACACCCTGGCTTACCCCTACGCTGCCTCGCCTCCCCACCTGCCTGTAGCACAGGGCAGCTACTCTCCCAGCAGCCCACAGCTCTATGGGGCTCCCAACAGACTGGCCCTGCCGGCCATGCGGCCCCCCGCCTGCGCCGAGCACAGCGAGCAGCTCCTGGGGCTCTCCGCATCGCCCCTTAGCCAGTTCGGCTCCAGCAATGCCTACATGAGGCAGCCCAATTTCCCTGCCAGCCTGGAGCGGTACATGTGATGGGGTCGGGGGCTTGGCCAAACAACCCCAGGCTTCCACGAGCATCTCTGGACATATGGACTTCTCCTCACCATAGGGATCGGCTGGGGGGGGGGCCGAGGGCCCCCGCCCCTGGGGGCCAGGCCCCCCCAGCCTCTGGCCACATACGGACACACAGCTGTGGGGGGAACCTCACTCCTCTCTTTCTCAGCTTATTTTTAACCGGAGGCAAGGTAATCTATTTTTCTGCCCCATACCCTCCTGGAAATGGTGCCACGTCCACCAAGCAGGGGTCCCCACACCTGGGGGGTGTCCCTTCTGCACAGCTGGACCCCAGGGATGCCATCTGCTCCAGGGGACCCTGAGCACCCTGGGGTGATGAGGAGCGTTCCCAGGATGCGGGTGTGTGGTGTAATGTGCAGGAGCCCAGAGAGAAGGAGCTGTCCCACAAATGGGCTTTCTGCTGTCTGCTCTGGGTGCCTCCTCTGTAACTGGAATGCGAGTTACCCCAAAAAACCCCACCTAACCAATTCACTGGATTTTAAATGAATATTTAAGATGCTTATGATTTCCTTGCCCTGTAGGAAAGAAACCCACACCTGACTACTTCTTTTTACTATTTTTAAAAGTAACTTTTGTTGTTAGAAAGGACTTTTTTAAAATAAAGCTTTTCCTTCCAACATACCCAATGTCACCATTCCTCTGGCTCCGGACGGACCTCGATGAGAAGAAATTCTCAGTCTTGTAACCGGTGGGAAACAGACTAGTGTTGCTGTTGTGAAACTGCCACATGTTGCATTTTTAGTGATACTTTCTAAAGCTGTCTATTTTATTATGATTTTTTAAAAGGCAAGTGGTAACTAACCACTTCCAAGCCATGAGAAGGCTGCAATAAGTTCTGTATCACCTGGAAGCTGCCAGGTTTGCCCACAAAGCTCTTACTGGACTCAGTGGTTTCCATTTGCATAGCTCTTCCCTCCAAGGAATCCCTTGCAGGTGAAATTCTGATTTAGCACATCAAATTAAGAGAATGTAGCTTTCCTTCCTAGGAACAAAATCAATTAAAATCCCAACCTGTTCACTGGCAAGGCTGTTACTCTTTATTCACAGGACTGCCAGCCAGACCATGTCGCCAGGTTTGAAGGCAGAATTTCCCATCCCTGGATTTACCTTTTTTCAATTTAAACATTCTCCAGGTACAAGTGACAAATTAGGGTTTCTCTCCTGTTTTTCAAGGTGTCCACTGAAGCAGAGCAGTTTCTTGTAGTCCCTGTTGCACCTTTCTCCTGCTTAAGAAGTTGGGTATCAGTTGAGCTTTGGTGCAAAACTAAGCATCTCATTCCATGGCTGCTGGTCATGACCGAAAGCTGTGCGTACAGGCAGGTACCCAAGGAGTCAGCTTTGGGACTTGTCGACAGCTTGGGAGTTTGTGGCTTTTCATTCTTTTATCCCATGTGCTCCGTAGAAACTGAGAGTGGGCTTAATATGAAAGGGGAGGGAAGAAAATGCTTTTTTTCCTCTTGGCCTCCTTAAAATTAGGGCTTCGTCTTTCTCTAAAAACTGGTGTACCTCTGGTCTGCTGCCTTTGGCTGAGCCGCTGGGCTCTGGGGCTCCTCTCTGCTTCCTCCAGCTTCACCTCTTCAGCTTCTGCGCTGCTCCCAAGAGCAGCTTCTGTGCTTTTCCCTTAGTGATAGCCTGGCTCGGAAAGGGTGTTGTGAAAAAAATTATCCCTAAACTACTCTGTCTCTCTACAGAAGATATTTATCTTCTATCTAACAGAAGTTTTCAAAGCACTGTTTCTGTGTGTAACATACTGTCTGTATAGGTGGAGTGGGGGGATGCTGAATTGGTTGCTTGCAAGGACAGTCAGTAGAAAGGACACTTGCCATAGTTCACATTCATTCCCAGGGCCTGATCCTGTGATATTTTTCAAACAAAAGCACTTTTGAAGTCTTGCCTAAGTATCCAAGGAGTCAGAGCCAGACATGTCTGAAGCACTGGGTCTGCCAACTTCCCTCCAGAACTGCCAGGCACCAGGCTGGGGCTCTGCTGGGTTTGCACCATGAACAGGAGAGCGTCTGAAGTGGGGGGGGAACTGAGTACTTGTGTAAAATAAAAGTGGTGTTGGGTGGAGGGGTTGGGCAGGTGATGCTGTGATTCTGCCCTGGTGGGATGCACCAGGAAGCAGTGGCCAAGCCGAGACATCTCACACTGGGCTGAGCCCACTCATCCCCAGTCACTCTGGAGCCCTGCAGGAGGGGGGATCTGGTGTCAGAAAGGGCTTTCCAAGGTCCTGGCATTGCTGGATGTGAATTCTGGTGGAGCTGGGTGGGACGGTCAGGGTGCCTGAAGGATTGGGCTGTGGTTTGCTCCTGTCCCCAGCCACCTGTGCCCTCCTGCCATGGGGCTTTCTGGAGAGCAGCACCCAGATCTGGGGAGGTTCTGCAGGAGACTCATCCCATCCCTGTGCCTGTGCAAGAGGGGTCTTTTCAACCAAAGGGGCTCTGACATGAAGCAAGAGTCACTGCAGTGGGCTGGATCCCCAAAGGCTGTCTCAGAGAGAGTGGACATCCCTATCCTGGTATGTCGGGACAAAATCTGGGGTGCACCTTTGGGTTGCACATCTTCCTAGGGTCCCATACCTGCCTGTCTGCCAGACAGTCCCAGTCCAGAGCCCCCTGCAAACAGCAATAAGTCACCTTCTCCACTGGCGTTACACTGTGAAACAAGCTGGAAAGCATGGGGAACAACCCCCTTTTCTTCTATAGACAGAAGAACCCCCTTCTCCTATAGATATTAATCCTCACATGCACAAACCTCTGGCACTTGTATTGTGAATGTCATTAAACTAATGCCTTAAGAGTGTCTTCTTGGTGAGCTTAATGTACGCCAACTAGGCTTTTAAGCTTTCATTTCAAAGCTTTGTTTACAGTTAGGGTGAATCTAGCAAATGAGTAGGATTTAAGTGTCATGTAAGGCATGAGCCTTGCTGGGCCAGAGTAGTTTTAAGCTTTGTAAAGTTTATACCTGCACCCTTCATCTGTTTTAGTGTCTTTTCAATGTCTCTGTTCAGTGAATAAGAGGGATTTAAATGAAACAGGAGTCATTATCATCCAGATTGCAGTTGTGAAATCAAGTCTCCTTTGAAATCCTCCCCTCTTTATTTAGCAATACCCAGGGAGTTTAGGGAATATTAAGTAATGACAGTCATAACTGTCTCAATCTTGCTCACACAAAAGCCAGGGGCAAAACTTTCTTTGCTCTCCAAGACTGTGGAATGAACATCATCCTTCGGGGTGATGTGAACCCCATCTTGAGCCCACAAGATGCGGGGGAGAGGGGGAGGGTGTTGGATTTGATCCCAAGCACAAAAGAGATTTGGGGGGTGATCTGGGCTCTCACCAAGACAGTCTGACTTCTTGGAGAATGGCCCTCTGGAAATCAGGATGAATTCAGATCACCCAGGCTGTACATTCAGAAACAAATAACCCAAATAGTCTGCCACTTTGAAAAAGATGTGTGTTTTGCTCTGGGAAATACTGGCTGCCCAGGCAGGACCAACCGAGCTGCCACATCTGTCTGCATACAACAGCATTCTATATGTTTCTTGCTTGTACCACCTTCCTACAACTTCCTCCGGGGTTAAAACGATCAACCAGAAATTATCTTTCCAGCTGATATTCCCAAGATAGAAATAGTGTTTTCCATCCAGTTGCAAACAAACACAGCATTAGCTGAAATTTTAGTCGAAGCACATTTCCTGAAGAACTTGTTGGTCCCTCTGGTAGTGTTAGATTTTTTTCTGGATGCTGCCAACTGTCCATCGGCAACCCCAGTGTTGGAAATTTTATAACATAACTAGCTTTTATTCTGTGCAACGCTTTGCCCTTTGCAAATACACTGCTTGGAGACAGCAGTGTCTCTTTTTCCTAGAGGAGAAAGTCAAGATTGAGTCAGGAAAGTGATGGGGAGTGGGGCAGTGGGTACAGCAGGACCAGCTGAGATTGGCTTTGCCAGCTAATAATGAGTTTTTAACAAATTAGTGTCCAGGAGTCAGCACAGCCCAAGCTCTGAGCTCCATCTTGGGGTATCGGGGGCCTGTCACCATCTCTGCTGTGTTATATTTGAGTCCTTTATATTTGGGTTCTTCATATTCGGGCAGGTGCGGGGGATGCAATCGCTGTGTTTGAATAGGACAAGAGCGACACTGCCCTGCCTCCGCCGCTT